CTGGAACTCACTCTATAGGCCAGGCTGGCCTCAAACTCAGAGAGATCCTCCTGCCTCTGCTTCCTGAGTGCTAGGATTAAAGGCCTGTGCCAGCACTCAGTACCCAGCTAGATTGGTGGACCAGTGAACTCCAAAAATAAGAAATGGGAGCTAATGAGATACCATGTGTGCCGTGTCCCAGCCCGCTCATCGCTCGAAGCCTGGCCGCTGTTGTTGCTGTTGTTATTTCAGATGATCATCTTCTGTCTGCGTTGACTGTCAACAGCAACTCTTGCTATAACCAAGATGTTACGAGGTGTGGATGGAATTCTTTAGGGTATCTGTCTAGGGATGTGGCATACATTGTACAGGATTAGCCTCAGAAGCCAACTGCCGCCCTCCTCATCAGATCTGCTGTGCCAACTTGAAAAATATTACAACTGGGTCTGTGGATGGTCACATTCCCTCGAAGAAGGAGAAGAGAATGAGGAAAGTCGTTGAACCCTCACCCAAGCATATAGCCATTCCTCCCAGTTCTGCCCTAATTGCAGATTGCATTTAGGTTTTGGGAGGGGCTAGGGTATGTAGACTGGTAAGGACTAGAATAAGGGGACCCATCAACACAGTCATGGTGAGGTCATCATTCATGATAGGTGTAGGCTTTCCAGTGTGGCTGTTTTGGGGTCACCCATGCTCTGTAAAGGAAACCCCATAAACTCATTGTTTTTCCAGGGGACCTTTTTCATGAAATAGAACTTTGATTGGTTGCTAGAACTGAGGAAGGGAGGAGAGAGCCATTGCCTAGATGCCCACCCCTGTCCAACCCCAACCTAGGGCAGAAATTCTCATGACAGCATATTACATAAATGGCTCATGAGAGGCCCCTCTACTGTGTCCCTCTCTAGCATCTAGTGTGACTTTGACTCTATTCAAAAATCAGACTTTTCTAGGAGAGGCTAAACATGGCCAGAAAGTGATTCATTCCTCGTTATGATAGTGAAGGAAAACATGTCCCACTTTTCTGAGGGAGTGTGTGTGTGTGTGTGTGTGTGTGTGTGTGTGCATGTGCGTGCATGCACGTGTGTGTGCTGGCCCACCAATCTCTCTTTTAGGCTTGGTTACTTTTTAAGTGCAGGGAAATAATGGAATTAAGCCTCCTCTTTCTCTTGTGCTGTAAACCTCTAGAGGGGCTGCTTCAAATGTCGTACTGACTTTGTTTCCTGAAAAACAATTTTCCCGTCAGCCTGATGGGCTCCTTTGACACAGTGTATTATTAGTCCGTGATGAATTCTTTAAAGAGCATCAAAGTGTATACCGCGGTGTATTTTTATCGCTTCACCACCTCACAGTGAATTTCCCACTCATTCCGGGGCTCTTTTCTGAGTCACTAATTATTCATAAAAGCTGGCAAGATTGCTTTATTTTATCCTGATGAAATGCATTAAAGTTTAAGGAAAACCCTTCATTGAGCTTAAAATGCCAAAGAGATGTTAGGAAATGAAAAACCATTTCCAGTTAAAATGTGAATTAAAAAAGAAGAAAGGAAAAGGAGGTGCGAGAAGGCAGGTGGTGCTTAGAAATGGTTATAGGATGGGGGCCACTGAGAGGGAAAGGGGGAGGACGGTAGGAGGTGGGCTGGGTGTTCACAGCTTCCTACCATCACTGTACAAGGTGTCATGAAAACCATCCTGGAAATGGGCGGGGATGGCTGAAATAGGGCAGCAACGACAGGGCTATTGCAGGGAGCCTCTTCAGCGTCCTCTTCTCTCTCTAATTTACTCAGAAAGAGAGGAGCTAAAAAGACTCAGATGCCATACTGCGTCCACCAAGAAGTCACTGACTCAAGCTCAGTAAATAGAGTGCTACGTTTTTGTGTGTGTTTAGATGCACGTGGGTCTGTGTGGGTGATGTTCCTTCTCATCAACCTTGTTTAATGAGGCAAGATCTCTCACTGCTCTAGCTTGCCAAAGAGGCTGGGCTGGCTGGTGGGCCAGTGAGCAGCAGGGGTCTACCTGTCTCTGCCTCCCTGGCACTGGAACCACAAATGGGACTTCACTCCTTGCTTTTCTTTGGGTAAACTCTGGTGGTTACTCTATGATGTCTCAGAAGGTGACACTTCTCTCTTTAATAACAAGCAAGTCACCCATTCTCCAACACCCCACATTTGATCCTTAACCAATGTCATGCTCTTGACCATAACCATAACCACTCACCATGCTGTGGCCTGATACCTTGTCAAAACTCCACTTTCTCTTGCCTGGGATGTACCTAACCTTGGTACTTGAGGAAGGAAGTGCTTACTCCGGCTTTTTTTTTTTTGTTTTGTTTTGTTTTTCGAGACAGGGTTTCTCTGTAGCTTTGGAGCCTGTCTTGGAACTAGCTCTTATAGATCAGGCTGGCCTTGAACTAACTCACAGAGATCCCTTCCTCTGCCTCCTGAGTGCTGGGATTAAATGCGTGCACCACCACCGCACGGCCCTGGCTCATGGTTTTAAGGCACCAGTCTAGCATAGTGGCAGGGACTTGAGGCGGCTGCTCACACTGAAACAGAAGAAGGCTGGTGCATGACTCACATTCCCTTTATTCATGGTGGGAGGGATCCCAGTCCACAGGAGAGTGTCAGCCATGGAGGGTGGGCCTTCTCCCTCAGCTAAATATTTCTAGAGACTCAAATTGGCTCATCTCTGGTATGATCCTAAGTTCCATGAAGTGGTCCTTCAAAATTAACCGGCACAGCATCCCATGTGTTCTGTTTGTCTTCTGGTCTCCGAGCTTGCTTTTCTATTGTACATGAAGAACAGCCATGGCCATCATTAAAAAGTAAATTAAATTGTATTGTTCTCCAGTTTAAAATCCTCCAGTGGCTTCTAACTGTGCTTCTAATTAAATCCGTGCTAATTACCGGGTCTTATAAGCCTTAGATCACAGGGTAGGAGACTGAGCCAATCTCACCTGGTACCATAAGTGGGGTTTACTGCAGTATAACTACGCCCATTTATTTACATATTGTCTTTGCCAAGGTTTACCTCGATGATGGCAGACATGAGTTGTTTTATGAAGACCAAAGGACTTACAGAGTCTAACTACTTCAGCCTGGCTCTGTGAGAAGGGGCTTACTAGCCCACTCCAGATGGCACGACCCTGCCTCCCTGTGTGCTCCCCCCGTGCCTTGTACTCTCTGCTGCCACCAGAGCCCCCTTTCCTTGACCTCCCACCTTTGCTTCTGCTGCAGAGTTTCAATGTGCAATAATTAGGCTCTGCCTGGAGTGGCCTCCAAGCCACTTCTTGGCTTCATCCAAGCCAGGATGAAAGTCTCCTGGTTTGTGTCACTATTTGTCACTCAGCTAATGGATTGTTTCCATCAACATCCAAGTTCTGTAGAATCAAGGCTCTCGGTGTGTATGCATGTTGGGGTGTATGTGTGTGTGCGCGTGTGTATGTGTATACACACACACACACATATATGTATTTATGTATGTATGTAGAGACCAGATTTTTGGGCATCTCCCTCAACTAATTGTCTCTGTTTTATTTTTTTCTCACTGAGCCTGGAGCTCACTGACTGGGTTAGTCTGGCTGTTTCAGAGATTTACCTAGCTCTGCTTCCTCACTGGGAATATAGGCACATGCCACCACATTTGTCTTTTTACATCATGGTTGGGGACTTTAACTTAGGTCCTCATGTTTGGGTAGCAAACTCTTTCCTGACTGAGCTGTCTACCGAGTCCCAGAGTCAAGGACCTTAAATAATTAGTCTGTACAGTATACACAGTACAGGCTATCATAGGTGCTCAGCAGATACTTTTTGGGTAAGTTTAACATAGTAACTGGCTTCTGGGTGACAGTGCTGTGCTCAGTGCCAGGCGTATAAGATGGACTCATGAATTTTGTTCCCCAGGTTCTACCTGAGAACTGAGCTGGAAGGCAAGAATTTTTGGCCACAGCTTATATCAAAGGCACTGAGGTGAGATTGTAGGTTCTGGGCCCAGCATCTCTAGTTCTGGACTTCAAAATGGAAGATATGTTTCCTTTTCCTCCATTTTCTTTCTTCTTTGTGAGATAGACCCTGGAACTCAATGGAAAGAGATGACCCTGTAAATTACATGCTGTCCTCTAACACAATACACACACATATACACACACACATGCTCATGTGCACACAAACATACACACATATATACACAGACACACACTCATGTGCACACACATACACACATCCATACATGCTCATGTGCACACACACATAATACACATATACACACATATACACATGCCCATGTGCACACACATATGCACACACTCATATGCACACACATATGCACACATGCAAGCTCATATGCTCACATACACACTTGCATAAGCACATAATACATACATACACCTTAAGTATAATTTAAGGACTTTTTTAAGATGAGAAAAACTTATATATGGGCTTGGTATTATATAGTATCAAGGATTTAGTAACTCTTGCTGATGACAATGGCTTTGAGGTCACCTAAGTCCCCATTTTCCTTGGAGAAGTGTATTGAAATACAAAGGGTTGCAATGATATGGTGGCCGAGGTTTGTATTAAAGTGACCTAGCCACAGCAATGGTAGAGAAATGACCACGTGATTCCCATTTTGCAGAGAGGAGGAGGAAGACTTAGTACTTTTGCGGATTCTACAGATACTACCAGGGCTGGCACCACGTCAGTCATCTCAAAGGTGGTCTCCTGCTGTTCTCAGAACCACTGTTCTCTAGACCTTACAGGAACATTTAAGGAATGAGAAAACTTAATCCATGCCCTCCTGGTTTCCTTGACCACTCATGGAGAATCTAATGTGTTTAGGGCATACAGCTATCAGACCTGCAGCTAAGGATGAATTGGGGCGAGAGGACACTCAACATTCTACTAAAGAACTACAGGGGGACCCTAGGACCCGGGGAGAATCCAGAACACACAAAACACCCCAAGTCTTCCTCTGCGATGACTCTTCCCATCTCACCCTTCTTGCTTCCATCTCTGCCCTCCGGTCAGGATGTCTGGAAACCGGAGAGTGTCACAGGTAGGCGGGGACTGAGAGATAGCGCTCTAGACAGAATTCCAAATCTGTGTACTTGAAGTCAGATTTTCGTTTTTGTCTTTCCCATCCTTCATCTTCACTGTGTTCAATGAAGCCAAGAACATAAACAGGCAGATGGTCGGAGTGGGCGAGAGTCTGCAGTGGAGTGCTGTGAGCGCCCACCTCCTCCTCCTCCTCAGTTTGTGCTAGCAACATCCCAGCTTCCTGGCGAGCCTGAAGGCACCTTTCTGGCACTAGAGGCAAAGTGTGTGAAGGTCTCCGAATCTGTAAACCTTTGCCTGAGCGGCCTTCTGGTAAGAATCTCGGACAGGAAAGATCTTGGTGACTGGCAGCCAGCAACCTCTCATGAGAGCTGAAGGGCGGGAGAGTCCCACATGCTGGTACCAGGAGCCCTCATGGACCGAGGATTTTCTTGTTCTCAGCACCACTCAGCTCTGTTTGGTGCTTACAGCATCCTAGGGAATGAGAACGGGTCAGGTGACAGACATGCATACCCTCCTTTTTTGCAGAGTTTATTGTGTGTAAAGCATATTGTGCACAACTTGTTACAGACCTGGGGGGTCCTTTCTGCCTGCCTTGGGAATCAGCAGCTCACTTATGCTGCTGACCGTATGTTACAGGCTGTGCTTGTCGATCTCTGATTGCTTAATGCTTTCGATAATCTGCTACTGTTTTGTTTCTTTAAGACAGGGTCTCACTACATAGCCCTGGCTGTTCTAGAACTTACCGTACACACCAGGCTGGTCTTGAACTCCCAGAAATTAGCCTGCCTCTGCCTCTAGAATGCTGGGATAAACGGTGTGCGCCACCACACCCAGCCTCAATCTTTTTTGAAGTGTGGTATGTGTTGGGAAGAGTTGTTGGAGAGTATTTGTTGAAGATGTGTTACATTTTTTTTAACATTGTGGAACATTTGTTTAATGATGCAAAGCTGTGTTGCATTCTTTTATGTTGCATTTATTTAACTCTGTAAAGCTGTGTTACTTTACCTGTCTAAAACACCTGATGATCTAATAAAGAGCTGAATGATCAATAAGCAAGGCAGGAGAAAGGATAGGTGGGGCTGGCAGGCAGAGAGAATAAGTAGGAGGAGAAATATGGGAGGAAAAGATCTAGGAGAGAGAGAAGGGGGACTCTGGGGGCTAGTCACTCAGTCTTAAAGCCAGACACGGAAATAAGAAGGAAAGAAAGGATATTCAGAAATAGAGAAATGTAAAAGCCCAGAGGCAGAGGGTAGACAGAATAATTTAAGTTAAAAAAAAGCTGGCTAGAAACAAGCCAAGCTAAGCTTTGATATTCATAAGAAAGAATAAGACTCTATGTGATTTATTTGGGAGCTGGGTGGTGGGCACCCACAGAGCCAAAGAGTAAAAAAACAACCAACAACAGAAGGGAGGGGCGCATGTGCCACAGTGCATGTGTGGAGGTCAGAGGACAACCTTGCGGAGTAGATTCTCTCCTTGTGCATTTCCGTGGGTTCCAGAGGTCGAACCCAGATTATCCGGGTTGCCTGGCAAGTGCCCTTAACTGCTGAGCCGTCTTTCTGGCTCATTTCTGGCACTCTTCTGGCAAATGGTCTTTATAGATAGGTGAAATGGCATGCCACAAATTACACACTTACTAGGTAGTTGGTACTGAGTTCACACTTGCAAGCTGGTCTCTAGTTCTGTCCACAGCTAACCACTGTGCATTGCAGGTTTTCCTATGTAACGTGCACACAGACAAACAATCAATGACATGAACAAGTTCAGAGTAATTATATATATTGCAATAATATATATATGTATATATATATATTTTTTCTCCTTATAACTAAATGGGAACCTTTTTAGGCAGAGAGGAGGGAGAGGGGGGAAGAGGCATCTTTGGACAGTGAGGGATTGAATGGATAGTTTAATTGATTCTCTCTCTGTTCCCTTACCAGGTAAAATTTGGTGACATTTAGAGACAGTTCTGCCAAGCAGCCTGATGTGAGTGAGTACTGCCGACATCTCAAAGGGGAGGAGCTAAAGATGCCAATAAGATTTTGTCACAAGGGACAGCACCCTGTAAGGCAGGGTCCAAATGTCAGCAAGGGCCATCAGCGACGCCCTGCCTGGCGAATGGCGAGCACAGTACTGTTGTTTAAGATGCATTTTTCTCAGTGACCTGGAAATCAGCTGCCCAGAGCCTCTACCCTGTAGCCACTCCTCAGAGATGAGCATCTGAGTCTGCGCCTTCTGGAAGCCTTTCTGATGTACACAGACCTTTAAAAGAATTCTGCTCCATCTGGCTTATTCTGCTTTCTCTTCTACTCCTTTCCTCGTCAGCTCTTCCCAGGAAATGCTAATGTCTGCCTGGGGATGACAGATTTAGGCCAAAACCATGTCTCATAAAAAGCTACGAGAAAACTTGAAAGTTAAAAAGAAAAAGTGTGAATTTTACATGTCTTCCTAGACGGGATTTAAACCATGCAATTTTTGGACCCTTTAATGATGTGCCAACCTTCTATCCAGCTGCTAAACCTCCTGATTCTGTTTTCTTGACTTTAGGCTTTTATTTTACTAAGTTTTTGAAGCCAATCTCATGTAGCCCAGGCCAGCCTCAAACTCAATATGTACCAGAGGCTGCTCTTGAATTCCTGATTCTCCTGTCTTTCCTTGCCGAGTGCTAGATTGTAGGCAAGGGCCACCATGCTCATGATGCCCATGGCCCAGTGGGTTTCTATTTCTTTTAGCTCTCTGTAGGGCACACCGTTTTGTTTATTTTGTAATTTCTTTTTCATTACATTTATTTACGTAGAGAGAGAGGGAGAGGAAAAGGGAGGGAAAGAGAGAGAGAAAGAGAGAGAGAGAGGTGGTGGTGGTGGTGGTGTGTGTGTGTGTGTGTGTGAAGACTTGGGGCGGGGCAGAGAAGCCTCCTCAGAGAGATCCTCTGTAGAAGTCTTCAGTAATTACCCAAACAGAGGGGCTACTCAACTTTTACATACTTTCATGGGGGCTCAGGAAGCTTTGTACCACATGATTTGGTTCAATACAACAAGGAACACGAAGGAGCCAGGTATAAAGCCACAGCCCAGGACTGGAGAGATGCGCAGTGCTTACGAATGCACTCATCTGACAGAGGACCTAAGCTTAGCTTCCAGCACCCGTGTCTTAGTTACGGTTACTATGGCTGTGATGAAACAGCATGACTGGAAAAGCCAGTTGTGGAGGAAAGAGTTTATTTGGCCTACACTCCCATATCATTGTTCATCATGGAAGAAAATCAGGACAGGAACTCAAGGCAGGAACCCATAGGCAGGAGCTGACTGAGAGGCAAAGGAAGGGTGCTGCTTACTGGCTTGCTCCTATGACTTGCTCAGCCTGCTCTCCTATAGAACCCCGGACCACCAATCCAGGGATGGAACGACCCACAATGTGCTGGGCCTTCCCACATCAATCACTAAGTAAGAAAATGCTCTCCAGGCATGCCTAGAGTCCTAGTTTATGGAGGCATTTTCTCAGTCAAGGCTTGTAGTGAGGAAGGAGCGGTGGGCTGTGTTCTGCCCAGATCCCGGCTAGCTTACCCCCAAAATAATTACACAGAAACTGTATTCATTTAAACACTACCTAGCCCATTGTCTCCAGCCCCTTATTGGCTAACTCTCACATATAAATTAACCCATTTCTAATAATCTGTATATCACCATGAGGTTGTGGCTTACCGGGAAGATTCTAACCCACGTCCATCTTGGAGAGGGGAGCCATGGCGTCTTCCTGCCTCTGCTTTCTTTCTCCCACAATTCTGTTCTGTCTTCCCCGCCTACCTATGTTCTGACCTATCAGGCCAAGCAGTTTTCTTTATTAATTAACCAATGAAAGCAACAGATAGATATAAGACCCACCTACATCAGAGGCTCTGATGACTTTAGCTGTGTAAGTTGACATCAAACTACCCAGCACACCATGTCGGGGTCTCTTGTCACAAACTCTTGAAACTCCAGCTTTGGGTGGTTAAGGCACCTGGTGTCTGAGGGCACCTGCAGGCATGCACACATACACACAGGCACATGTGCATAAAATTAAAAATAAAATAGAGCTGAAGAAGCTATCTTATGTGTGTGTGTGTTTTAAACTCTGTCCCAGAGAAGGGGGGTGGAGGGGGGGAGAGGGAAGAAGGGAGGGAGAGAGGGAGGAAGGGAAGGAGAGAGAGAGAGAGAGAGAGAGAGAATGAATTGTAGGGTGTGTGACCTGATTTCTTATGACTGTGTTTTCTGGCCTCTTAAGAGTGACTTAAAGAAGATGGCCTAAGAGTCCTGTGTCTAGAACATAAATTGAACTCTATCATAGTTATCTGTGATAGACATAGAAAAAGAATCCCTAGTTATATGTAAGATTGGCTACTATAGGCAGTTTCAAAGATTCACCGGGGAGGGGTGTCTCTGAATATACCCATTGGGAACCTGGAGAGATCGCTGGCTGGTTTGTCCCCCAAGTCCTTACTGATATCATCAGTTTTGATAGCTAGCTGAAGCTATTTACAGAAAGATCGCAGCAGGAGGCCTTTTGGAGGTCTGAACCTGAGAAGCGCTAATTGCCAGCATCTGCCCTGTGGGAATTAGGGGATGGCAGTGTGGGGTTAATGGCCAGATGTTTAGGAGGCAGGAGAGCTATGCGCATAACCTGCTGTTGGAAGGGTCAGGCTCAGGGGTGGCAGAGATTAAACTGAAGGTGGCAGAGCTGTGGGAGGGAAATCCAGGGCACCACATTGGACCAAGGTGACCTTTCTTTTATGAGGGAAGTATAATCAAGCTTGTGGTTAAAAGCCATCAACAGAAAAGATGGATAAAAAAATAAAAGGCCTCCAAACTTCTGTGGATTCCCAAGAACTGCTCAGAGCTTTACTTGACCCCAGTGATTGCTCTGAGCACAGAGGACTGTCAGGGAGTCGGTTTATTTCTGATTCGCCTCCTTCCAAAGGCATCTTATGGAGAGTCCTTTGCAAGAAGGACAGGTGTGCTGTGATGCCTCATTTACGCAATGTTGGGCGTCCAACCCAGGGCTTCCTGTACACTAGGCAAGCGCTCTGCTAACTGAACCCCATTCCCAGCCCAGCTTCAGGACCTGCCCCTGATGATCATGAATTTGTTGAGATGCTGCTGAGACCCTCATGTGTCTCCCATGTGAGGCTATAGTGCAGATGAAGTGAACTGAGCTGGTTAAGTCAGGGCACTCACAACCATCTCTGCCCTTTGTACAGGTAGTTACCCAGCTGTTCCTCGGAGGTTGATCCCATCCTGTGGAGAGAGGTCAGCTGGTTCTGTGCAGGCTCAATGAGGGTAGGAATTACTGCACTCTGAGAGTTTTGGTGTGTGTGTGTGTATACACACATATGTGTGTATATGTGAGTGTATGTCTGTGTATGTGTTCGTGTGTGTATGTGTATTGCATGTATACGTGTGTGTATGTCTGTATATGTGTGTATGTGTTTATGTATGTGTATATACATGTGTGCTTATATGTGTGTATATGTGTATGTGTACACTTGTGTATATATATATCTGTGTGTATTGTGTATATGTATATGTATGCATATGTGTGTATGTGTATGTATGTGTGTGTGTTGCACAAATACATTGCCTGACCTAACAGCAAAGGGGAAAACACATTAAACCTGGCTTTCATCATTCTTGGCAGCAGAGTTCACAGTTAAATCAGGGCTGCTCCTAATAAACCAGATGGTGAGGTAGCTCATCTGTTGGCGGCTTTGCTGCCAAGCCTGCTAACCTAAGTTCAACCCCTCAGACCCACACGGTAGACAGAGAGAGGTGACTCCTGCTATTGTCCCGACCTGTGCCCACTCCCACAGACAAACAAATGCAAATAAAATAAACAAAATGAAATATTATCTTCAAAGGTAGAAGAGAGCTGGCTCCTGGTTAAGACTGAACTCGGGTCATTGGTTTGGTGGCAGACATCTTTACCCACAGAGCTATTTTGCCAGCCCCTAATGTACTTTTTTAAAATCTCATATTTTCTAGTTTTCATCTCTGAAAGTCTTACTCGGTTCTTTCAGTGTCCTTTTGGGCATCAGCAGGGGTTATATAAGAAGTGTTCTGACGTCACTCTGCTTGCCTCTAACATCTGTCAGCCGTATTATTGATTTATTCCCCATCGATGTGTAGTAGTCATGCTTCTTTTCACGGTCAGTATTTATTATTTTTTAATTAGTTGGCAGATAGTATGACAACGCGTGTTTGTTGCTAGACATTTTGTCTCATGAAGGTTGCTAATCTGCACTGAGGGACGCATATTGCAGAGGTTGACAAGTGTCCGTCTGACCTGTATTGGAGTTGACTTTATTTCCTAATGCACCTTGGATGACTTCTCCAGAGCACCTTCCTGTCCATCTCCGTCTGTTCTCCATTCGATTGCTTCAATGAACTGAGCTTTCCCCCCAGTCTATTTGTGGGCATGCACACTCCCAGTGCTGTGTGGCTGCCTTTCAAAGTGTGTGCTGGTGGCCTTCGGGTTGTGTTTAAGGACCCCCAAGGGATGACTCTCCTGCTGTAGGAGCCGTGAATGGGTGCTCTGTCCTGACCGCCTTCACCACAAACCCTGCATCCTCACCTGTGGAACTCTGAGCAGCTCTGTGAGGGTGGGAAGGAACTCTTAGAGGATATTCCCAAAAGAGTTCTGATGTGGTACATGCAGAATTTCAAAACGAGAGCTCATTGTTTCCCCTTTCTCCAATGTCATCCCTTTCTTTTTTAAGTATGAAATAAAATAAAAAATCCTGTTGCAGTTGAAAACTAAATCTCTCTCTGTCTCTGTCTCTCTGTCTCTCTCTGTCTCTCTCTTTGTCTCCGTCTCTCTCTCTCTCTCTCTCTCTCAAACACACACACACACACACACACACACACACACACACACAAATTATACCAACTAGCAACCCAATTAAGGTTCTTGGCTTCTCTGTTCAATCACGGAGGAGCGAGGAACATTACCAGTTTCCCTCTGAAATGAAGAAAACTGGGTGGGTGTCTGACATCTTTCCAGTTTTATAGCAGGTGCTATAGAAGTGCTGCCCGCCCCCCTCCCTAAACAGAGCTCAGAACTCTGAGCTCAAGGGTGCCCAGAGTTTGGAATGGCAATGACAAGCTTGGCTCCAAGCCTTCTAAATCCCAGCTGCTTTCTTTACTTTCTCTGCTTCTCAGCTTCCCTACATGAACATGGAGGAGAAATGCACAACACACCTTTCCAGCAGTCCACACACATATCCTTCTGAATGATTTCATTAATTATATTGTTGAAAAAAATGTCTTTCCCTCTCTTAATATAGTCGATTGAAGGTGGATTAAATGTCCCTCTTACTGTCAGGCTACTATCAGGAAAGGAAGTTGGCGGTATCATGGGAGAGAAAGGAGACTCTGTTAAGAAGATGTGCGAGGAGAGTGGTGTACGGATCCACATCTCAGAAGGGAACTGTCCTGAGAGAATTATCACTTTGACTGGACCGACTAAAGCCATCTTCAAAGCCTTCGCTATGGTCATTGATAAACTGGGAGAGAACGTAAGCAGCTCTGTGACCAATAGTACAGCTGCCAACAGACCCCCAGTCACCTGACGGCTTGGGGTCCCTGCGAGTCAGTGTGGCTCTCTCATTGGCAAAGGGGGTTGTGAGATCAAGGAAATAGGAGACAGAACAGGAACTCAGGTCCAGGTGACAGGGGATGTGCTCTGCAACTCAACCGAGCGGGCAATCACTACTGTGGCATTCCACAATCCATCACTGAGTGTGTCAAACAGTTCTCCATGGTCATGGTGGAGTCCCCCCAAAGGGCGTGGCCATCCCCCACCAGCCCAGTCATCTTTGCAGGTGGTCAGGCCTATACCATTCAAGGAAAGTACGCCATTCCCCAGCCAGACTTGACCAAGCTGCACCAGTTGGCAATGCAACAGTTTCATTTTCCCATGACCCATGGCAACTGGATTCAGTGGCATTGGATCCAGCTCTCCAGTGGTGAATGGCTATTGGGCAGGTTTGGATGCATCTGCTCAAACTACTTCTCATGAACTCACCATTCCAAATGATTTGATTGGCTGCATAATTGGGTGTCAGGATGTTCAAATCAGTGTGATCTGTCAGATGTCTAGGGCGCAGATCAAAATTGCAAACCTAGTGGAAGGATCTACCGATAGGCAGGTCACCATCCATCACTAGTCCTGCTGCCAAATCAGCCTGGCTCAGTATCTAATCAATGTCAGGCTTTCCTCGGAGACAGGTGTTGTGGGGAGCAACTAGAACAGTGCAGATTCATCCACAATCCCTTTAGCTGTTCACCACCACCCATGACCCATCTGTGTAGTTTCTGAGCAGTCAGCGATTCCGGTTTATAAATTTTCAGTTTCTACACACTTTTTCATTCACTCATGACTTTTTAATTGAAAGTGTTTTAATTCTTTCCCTGTTCAGCAGTTACGCTGAGATATCCATATTTAGTTTTATAAGCTTTTCCCCCATTTTACTTTTTTTGGGTTTTTTTTTGGCTCATGAATTTTTGTTTGTCATGGAAATGTAAGAGTGGAATATTAATATATTTCAGTTTAGTTATGTAATGTCAGGATTTTTTCAAAAAAAAATTAAAAGATAAAAAAAATAGTCTAGCATGGGACAGCTGGTGTAAATAACCTCCCCAGCTCCACTAATTCCTCAGCAGAAACAGCAAACCTTCCTTCACAGCGATCGCCGTAGCTGTGAGTAGATTGGCCCAGAGAGGCTTTCAGTGGGAAAATCTGGTAATTATAGTCAGCAAATAGCCCTTTGCCAACAGAACATCTTTCTTAAAAACTCCACAAAAATAGTGCTAGTGAAAGTATAGAGACATGATCTGTGAAGTCCTGAAGACCACACGACCCAATTAGGCAGATCTCTATGGAGGTGTTTGTCTAAAATACTCCATAAAAGGAGCCTTGTTGTGGCAGTCTGGGTTCTCGAGGGGCAAGCAGAAGACAGTACAGTAAATAGTAAAAGAAGTGGCATCGCATTGCTAGTGAGGTTACCGACAAGGACAGGAGAGGGAAGTGTGACGATGCTTAGTGTTGACTGGCAAGTTGACATCATCTGAAAACAAAGGAATCACTAAATACGAAGCTAAGAGTTTTCAAAACCGATGAGGACAGGCTTATTACCCAGCGGAGGCCTTCCTAGACTATGTAGTGAGTTCAAGGCTAGCCTGAGCAATTTACTGAGATTTGGAAAAGAGAGGGCTGGACTTACAGGTCAGTTGTAGAGTGTTTGCCTAGAATGCATGAACTCCCTAAAGTTCAAGCCCCAGAAACACACACACACACTCACACGCATACCCCTGTGTGGTCACCCATGCATGTATAATCTCAAGTGCTACGGATACTCATTTGAATACCTCCATCCATATAACACTACCTTTTCTAATAACTGGGTCTAGCCTCTTGAATTTTTATGCTCGGAAACCATCTAGGGTTTCTACCTGAGAGCTGAACAATCAGTCTCTGCACTTTGAGGTGAGGCATTCGGGAGAAGCAGTCGAGCTGCCTGTCAGAACCCACCCACTTCAACGTGTTCCCCCTTCCAGGGGAGCTGACAGTCCTCTAGTGGAACACAGCTACGTTCATCTCAGACCTGTGCTGTAATTAGTGGATTTCTTAATTACAGAGTGCACGGATTGCTTCATGCAGGGGAGGACGGGGAGGAAAACGCTGCTGCCCGTGGAGACGGGGTACAGTCTCGCAGCTGGTTTGAACTCCAGGTAGTCTGCAGGCAGCTCTGATGGTCTCTCCAGGAGTGGAGGTCACTCAAAGACGACCCTTTACATCTCAGTTAAAACACAGCTCCTTCTGCTTCTGCTCACGACGACTTAATGACAAGGCTGGGTTATTATGTGTTATTTGCTGGGAATCTGAGGGCTCTGCATATCTGCTTAAGATGAATGTGATACTGTAGGTCAGGGGTGTGTGCACGCATGTGTATGTGTGTGTGTGTGTGAGAGAGAGAGAGAGAGAGAAAGAGAGAGAGAGAGAGAGAAGAAGAAGAAGAAGAAGAAGAAGAAGAAGAAGAAGAAGAAGAAGAAGAAGAAGAAGAAGAAGAAGAAGAAGAGAGGGAGGGAGGGAGAACTTCAACTTGTTTTTTGAGTCAAGGTCTCTTACTGGCCTGGAGCTTGCCAAGTAGGGTAGGTTGGCTGGCCAGGGAATTCCAGGGTTTGTCTTGGCTCTATCCCTTGGCACCGGGGCAGATACACTTCTCCACTGTGTCTGCATTTTTTTTAAAGAAAGCATGGGTTCTGGGGGGCGGGAACCATAGGTCCCCATGCTTGTACTGCAAGCCCTTTGCTGACTGAGCTATCTCTTCAGCTCTTTAAGAGTCTGATTCTGGGTTTGGAGAGATGGCTCAGAGGTTGAGAGCACTGGTGCTCTTCAAGAGGTCCTGAGTTCAATTCCCAGCAACCACATGGGAATTTCCAGCAACCATCTATAATGAGATCTCGTACCCTATTCTGTCAGGCAGGCATACATGCAGGCAAAACACTATATACATAATAAATAAATCTTAAAAAAAAGAGTCTGATGCCACTTAGAACAACTTTGGGTGTGGATACCTTTAGACTACTGAGTACACAAGTCTAGTCTTCCTTTGCAAGTCAAGGGAGTGAAGTCCAGAATGATCTGTTGCTGGGTAGTGACATCAGGGCCAAGCCACATTTCTCTGCAGCCACACACCTCCTGATGGACACCCAGTGTACCCAGTGACAGGCTTTCTTCTACGGGGACCACAGCAGTTCAAGTGCACCCCTCTGCAGTCCTCTAACCTCATCATTAATTCTGGGATCCCCGAATTCCAGGCCAGGACTGCTCAAGTGCACCCCTCTGCGGCCCTCTAGCTTCATCCTTAGTTTTGGGGTCCCTGATGCTACAAGGAGAGGTAGACATCCTGAGAGCCTGCCAGAATTCCAGATATCAAAAGGCCACTTGAGGTGACACATTTCTCCCACTCACCTAAATGTGCCCTTCCTCAGTTTCCTCATACCCTCAGAGTTAGGGTCTAAGACTCCTCCCCACGAACTTTCACCTCTTCCATGGCAGCCTGGGAATCAGGGATACCTCCCTCCCTCCTGCAGAGAGTCATGAGAAGAGGTTTCAGGAACCTGAAGGAACTTTCATCAGAGCCTGCAGCTCTCTACGCGCCTGACAGTGTTTCCTACAACATTCCCAACTCTTCTAGTAAGCGGGTAACCCAAAGGGACAATCCCGTGGTGTCCCCCCTGGAGTCCTCACTGGAGACCTTCGAAACACAGACAATGGGGCATGGAGAAGTGCAAGGGCCCTGTAGCTTTTGCCGACTTTGATGAGCTTTTTACAGGGGCACTCCCAACGTCCGATGTCCGTACCACACCACTTGCAGGACAATCAACCCTGTTTGCCTTTTTTGGGCCACACCCCTGTCTTCTGGAAGTCTTTCCTTTCTGACAAGAACTGTGAAAGGATCCTCACTCTGCATCCTGTCAGTGACTCTGCTCTGCTACTGCTCTGCAGACACTGGCCGGAGCCACAGAACTTTTAGTTCAGATACAAGAGGCCTTTGCTAATCAGAACACTCCAGGCGGAAGGAGCCATCAGAGCTTCCTGGGTGTGTAAGGTCTCTTCTTCTCAGAGTCCCTGGCAAGACTGGGACGCAGCATATTTAGATGTGTGTGTGTGTGTGTGTGTGTGTGTGTGTGTGTGTACTTGTGTGTATGTGCGTACTCGTGTGTGCACATTTGGATGTGTGTGTGAGTGCATGCATTTGTTTGTGTGTGTATTTTTGTGTATGTGCACGCAGGCCACAGCTAAGGAAGCCTGAGCTGAGAAATCCAGGCTTTTAGCGAGGTCAGTAGTGAATCTGCCCAAACATTGCCAAGAACTAAACATTATCATTCTTCTGTTGGTCCAGAAACCATTGACCTCCTGCCCCTGAGTGAGCAACTCTGTCCCAAGGCCTTTGTTTCACAGTCTATGCAAAGGCAGCCTGGAACAAAATCTGACAAAAAGGATCTTTTTTTTCTTTTTAAATTTTAAACAACAGCAACAAATCCCCCCCCCCCCAAACCAAAAAAAACTCTTGACACTGGAGAGATAGCTCAGTTGACATTGTGATTGCCCTACAAACATGGACCTGAATTTGATCCCCAACACATAGATAAAAATCCAGGCATGGTGCTACTGAACTGTAACCCCAGGGCAGGGTGGTGGGGTAGATTCAGGTGAATCTCCAGAGCTCTACTGGCATGCAGCCTAACTGAATCGATGAGCTCCAGGGTCAGCGAGAGACCCTGTCTCAGACAAGGAGGCAGAGAGGCCGAGGGAGACCGCTGATGTTGACCTCTGACCTCCACATGCATTCGCAACACATACACAAATTCCTGAAAGCACAGTGAACACACACACACACACACACACACACACACACACACACACACACAAACATACACACACACATGTGCATACACATGCGCACACATACACGTACACAAAAGTCTCATATCATTCACACACACACCCTTTTGGGGTGACACTGGTGTGACCCTGTGCTTCCTGTGTGTGAGCCAGATGTCCCGTGAGCAGTAGGTAAGCTGGGTTAGCACTTTCCTTCTGGCACCTTCCCACGAGGGCTGTGCCCTAGACACAGAAACTGTGGTGAGTGATTGGTAGGACAGGTGTCCTGGGAGGGTCCCAGCGACCCTTGTGAGGGACCCCAAAGTGCAGAAGCATGGACCCTGGTGGAGAAATGTCACCTGAGCACCGCAGAAGAAACCTGGCAGAAGCTGGCTCACTGGTATCACGATACGTACTTTTCAAGCATGAAATACTGACAGTTATTGTCAAATAAAGGTCTCTTTACCGGCTCAGATGTACCAACAACCAACCAACAGTAGCATGAGGCTTTGCCTAAAGAGTGCCGTCTGCCCTCGCACTGTGACATCGCGCTTAACACATCCTCACTTAAAATGCCAATTAAAGTATGATTTATCTCAAATAAATGTCCCCTTCATTTTTAATTGCCGTATGCTGTGTCAGTCACTGCGTTGGTGTGGGAAACAAGACTATTAAGGGATTATTTGTCTTCTATGCTGTGAGACAAGGCCCCACAGGAGCCAGCTCCTGACTGCCTCTAATTGGAAAGGAAGCAGGAACAAGGGAAATCGTGGGTTATTTTACTCATCTAAGATGGGGTTCTGCACATTGTTCTCGTTTCGGGGAGTCGGCAACGCCTCACTTTTGACAAAGGAGAAA